AAAAAAAAAAATTACACATAATCTTTCTTTTCACCTAGTGGGTTGGTGCTTGCATGACCCTAAATCTGCCACTGAGTGTAATAGATGATTTCGAGTATTGAAATATTCGGACCGTCCCACCCAAAGCCAAGCATTCAAAAACTTATATATCATTTTATCTATGTATAAAAGTTTTTTGATAAATTTATTGGACAGTATTAACTAATACTAAAATACGAGTATATATAAGCATATTATTGAATCCTATGAACATCAGCTGTGTAATCAACATAAATGCAAGGAAATTAGACATCACTATATGTGCTTTTTCAAAATCTGGTATACATAATTTTCAATTACTCTACGAAGGAAAACTTCAACTTCCCATATCTATCTAGTTCTTGACGTAGAAAGCCTATTGATTTGAAATTTTCTTAAAGCATTTTTAAGAAATTCTTCAAAAGTAAAATCAAAAATGCTTTTTATTTTGAAGTGTCAACTCTTAAAATTATGTTACGAGTGAGTCTTCAAATTAACATTTTAAAATAGAGAATGAGTTATGAATTTACTCTTATAATTAAAAATATTTTAATTTTCAATGCTCAATACAAAGAAAGCTCCCTGAATTAATTTAATTAACGTACTAATTGCTTTAAACACAGAAGTTAATATAATTATTTTAATCCTTATTATACTTAGGCGAATAATAAATGTAAATATTTATTTTCCTTCCGTAGTTGTATAATCTAATTGAATATTTCGTGGAGGGTGACAGTACATTAATGTAATTGCAAGATTCAAAATTAATGATATAGATGATGTCACACGATAGATCATAAAAAATAGTGTCAAAAATAATATACATATAACATGATCCACAAACCCTGGCCTTTAGGGGCGCCATGCGAACCTGTACAAGCATCAAATTCCTTAATATATTCTCTCTTTCAAGTATGAAGATTATGCAGGCCTAAAATCTTTTGTCGATTTCGTCACCATAAATTCTATAAGAATTATTCTTGGTGTATAAAGGGTTTCTCACAAAACCCCCACATAACACTCACAAACGAGGGTGGGGAATTTTTTTTTTTTTTTACTTTTTTAATTAAGGTGTGTCCCACGTGGGCCCCTCTTTTGGGGGGATTCTGTGTGAGAACCAATGTACACCAAGAATAATTCATTCTATAATGCAAGTTGCCCCCAGGGCACATCTCCAAATGATAAAAGAGGAAGGTGGAAAAATTCCTACTTTGCTTGAGGCTATCGCGTCAAGGGTTCGAATCCTGAAATATGGATTTGACCATTGGGTAAGTGCAAGTGTACAAGCAGCATTCCACCATATACCCTTTGAGGCATAACCTGCGATTTATCTCCTTCACCAAAACCTAGAACAAGACAGGTGGGGGGCAACCAATGATGCTGTTTATCCTTTTTTATAATGCAAGTTCAAAAGAATATTCTATTTAATATTCGATTGTGGTCATTTCCACTTTCTATAGTTGCATTTCTTGAAGTTCTCATATAAAATTAAATTGGTTTTTTACTTTTATGTCAGGTAGAAAAAGTTAATTTAGACAATCTATAAAACTGTCCATCTTTTTACATTTCTGTCGTTTCATTATTATTTTTTTCGAACAATATTCATGTGGGCAAATAAAAGGGAATTAGCCTCAATTCTCAACACTGGCATCAAAAACAGGTCTGGTTGTTCAGAGTTGAGGATCATAAAGAAGATACGTTTGTCATTAATGACGAGAAGTTTAATGAGAGAATCAACTTTGACTTGTGACAAGTACACGTCAGAATGCTTTGATTGAGTGTGGATTACATAAATCTTTGAAGAGGAAACCAACTCCAATTCTTATGAATGCACTAAAAAATTCAGTATGAGCGACGAGGATTGGGAAGATATGGATACGAAAGCCGCAAATATGAAACGTCTCTATTTGGAGAAAAACGCTCTTACAAATATTCATGGAACTGTTGCAGTGAAACTTTGGAAAACATTGGAGTAGTCGTATCTGACAAGGAAAGTTTCAAATCGATTGTATGTAAAGGAACATTTTCATTATTTGCGAATCTTAGCCCATTCGAGTGTTCTCAATGTGATAGTTTCTCAACTGGAGCTATGGAGTTAAAATTCATGATTAGTCGGGATAATTTACGATCAAACTGATTTCGAAAGAAAAAAAGTTGGATGGAAATAATGTTTCGTTAAAAAACTCATTATTTATTGCCGAATAAGCAGAAGAAGAATAACTTCTAGAAAAAGGAAGTAACTTGTTGGAACTATGGACAAACTGGTCACATGAGAAAATATTGTCTTGAAAGCGAGAAACTAAGCTAACTGCTCGAAGTCTGACAATTCATCTCTATTTTTAGGAGACGATGAAGAAATCACTTGGTTAAATATATATACGTATTCGTGACATGCGCTATTTGTCATGATAGACGATGTGTTACCACTAATGTGTCTACAGTTTTGCGCACGTGCACTAATTTGGCATGATGGTCAAAGTGTGTTAAATGTTATCGTTTAATTATAACATTGTGATCAAGAACTACAAAAGCGGTGATATAAATTTTGGCTATTTTTTTGATAAGGTGGAGACTGAGGAATATTTTGCCTCGAAAGTTCCACTAAGAGAAAGGATCTCCATTGCAAATAAGGAAAAAATAAAATAAAATAAAATTCATCAATCTACACATTTAACAATCTAAATTCTTTGAGATGCAACAACATTTAAAAAAAAAATAAACATTTAACACGAGTTAGTACGTATCCATGATAGAGGATCGATCATAAATTCTTCAACTCCTTGTCTTTCACTCTTATATGCTATTCCAATGGCAATGTGCAGAGAAAGAAATCGAGAGTTAATTATTAGCGAAAATATACGCAACCACACGAGAGCAAAACAAAAGGATGAAAGAAATATCAGGTAGAAATTGCTGCTACAAATCCTAATGATTGTTTTCTCTGTGTAATTTGGTGAGTAAGTCTTTTTTGGGGTTAAGCCAGTTTGGGACCGATTAAATTCGAATTAAAAGCAAAAAAATGACCATTGGATACAAGGAATATCATCTGCTTATCCTATAACATCTGACTCCTTTTAGACAATTTACTATACCAATTATTCATTGTTGGGGACAATTGCCAATTTCGCCTTCAATTTATTTTCTTCCCTCATCTGTCGATTCACACACATTTGCGTAAAGGGGTGAAATGGACTTTCGAATATTTGAAAGTCACGTACTTTCATTAAATTGACACAACAACAGTTTTANAAAAAAAAAAAAAAAAAAAGAACGCGCCACGCCCCCATTTAGTGGTCGAAAAGGAATTACCTCTCCAGCATTAAAAAAAAAAAACCAAAAAAATTTCCAATTTTGACTCCATTTCTTTCATGGAATTCTCCGCTTGTCCCTTTTGTAATCTAACAGTTCCGTTTCTGGAACTCGAGAGGTATACTTTGCGTTGGATTGTGTTTTGCTTCCATTCAAATAAACAATTTTTCATTTCCACCATTACTCCGTGTTTTTTGAATTCTTCGATTATGTATTTCCATTAAATCTCGATTATACAGACATGCTAATGATCACTGTTTATATGCACAAGAGAACTGTCTGTTTATTCCTGTATTAAATATGAATTTTATTTCAATTTGTTTGGTATGTAATTAAGTGCTTGTGTTTATTCAAAAATTGTTTGATTGCTCAATTTGTAACCTATCAGGCAATATAATGACCAAGTGCTGAATAGGACTGGAGTCAGCATTGTTTTGGAGAAATGACCTATTGCGGTGTTGCTGACCACAAAATGTTGTATATAGTTTCATCAATTTATTAGGAACAGTATATTAGCATTTGATAGAGGACAGAATGTTTGGAAGAAATAGAAAGGAAATCGTTTTATTGAAGGCTTGAAATCGTCTGTAACATTACTTGGCTGTAATTTTCGATTTAACATATTGGCAATTTGGCATATTGCTTTGAAAAGCGGAGACACGGTGTTACCAATTACAGAGTTAAAATACTTGAATAGAAAAGAATAAGGAATCAGAAAAGTTATCATGTGTATGGAGGAAAGTAGCTGAAAATATACTAAAACATGAACCGAGAATCTATATTTATATTATGCATCATGTTGGGATAAATTACATAATTAGTTTGTTTATTGAGTCTTCTTACTTAAGCTCTGGACGGGTGGTTAGACATTTTGCTATTTAACTTCTTGAAACATGCCATCTTTCTTGTACACATCAGTTATGGGTAGTTGCAATTTTTAATAACACGAGGAATTCCTTGTTATGATCAGGTTGACTATTCCGCGAAACATATAAATAGTTCCTGGGACAATCCTGAGAGCAGTTTTTTAAGGTGTGATGCCGAGGGAACTACCAGCAGAAGGATAGATACTGATGAAAATTTTTGTTACTTAGTAGAGACACAGATCAAGGAGAGCTTCTGTCAAGTTGAAGACGGCTTGACGGCTTTGTTAGCAAAGTGTTTGGAATCAGACTCAAAGAATGCAGTGAGTATATTGTCTGGGTACATTGATCGCTTTCAGAGTGTTGAATGAGAGGATATTGGGTGTGGGTGGCGAAATATTCAGGTGCTTAGTTCTCATCTGCTTAAACTGAGACAAGAAGCAAGGGAGGTTCTGTATGGTGGTTTTGGGTTTATACCCGATATTTCTTCCTTACAAAGATGGCTTGAAATTGCTTGGGAAAGAGGTTTTGATACACATGGCTCAAATGACTTTGATCGTAAAATTTATGGAAAAAAGAAATTGGATTGGAACCACAGAGTGTGCTGCACTTTTCCGCTCATTTGGTCTTTGTGCCAGGATAGTAGATTTTTGTGGCAAAGATATAATCTTGGATAAAATTGTGGGCAATGTTGGGAACAAACAAAAAGTCCTACATCGGTTGGGAGAAGAAAAGAAATCCACCATATAACCCAAGAGGGTTACTCCACCCATTACCAATTGGTTTTGGGTTGGAGCCAGACTTNAATATTTTTACTAAACCCCTCAAATTAGCTAGTTTTCTGAAGCTGAAAAAGTTACTTGGAGTTTATGCAATGGAAGATCAAATTTAATGAAATGTTCTGCATAATTTTAAACTGAAGTTTGTAAACTTTCAGTTCAAGGGAGAGTTTGTTGGAATTTATTTATTTAATTAAAGTTTGTTTTTAAGTTCAAGTATTTACGAAGTCCATGTTGTTGGGGCAAACAAGTCCCACATCGGTTGTGGGAAGAAAATAAATCCACCATATAACGTAAGTGGGTTACTCCACCCATTACCAATTGGTCCATTACCAATTGGTTTTGGGATGGAACCTCACTTGGGCCTGATGGTGTGGGCTTGGGCCTTGGGTAATTGCTCCTAATAATCCCAAACAGGCAAAAGGAAGGCTATGCAAGTTTATGGACCAATAGATAAATTTCTGTCGAAGGGGGATTCCAAAATTCCAGATGCAGTTTCGTCTGGTGATAGGAGTCGTAAACATTCTAGCATTCCCGTTGGCAAATATAAAGGGTGATCAGGTTCTTATTGACTGGGTTTGGAATTACGTTTCTGGCTACAATCCCATCCAATATGGCAATCAGCGTGCTGTTTTCAGTGGGAAACCATAAGTGAATTTCAATTAGTTTTAGGAGTCTTCTTGGATTGTTGGCTGCATATTGGCTGTGAAAATGCATACACTATTTCTATTTGTAAATTCGCCCTAAGTAATGTTTATGAAATTTTTTGCGCAGGCCCTTGTACTTTCAACATGATGGCCATTCAAGAACCATCATTGGCATCCAAGTTCTACATCAGATAAACCGTAAAACGCACTAAAACTTACTAATCTTGGACCCTGCCAGTGTAAGTATACACAATTGCACTCTTATGAAAGTTTAGCTTGCATACTGTTTCTCATAAAATATCACAATCGGCTAATAGTTGTTCATGTGAATATAATGTCGAGATTCCTTGCATTTTACTGGGCTTCAGATTGACATTCTATGATTTGATAGTTTTCCTGTTGGCCAGGGCCCTGGATGAAGTAGGCGTGATAAATTGGCTATTGCGACTTTTATATAATTTATTCATTTCATTACTGGTGCACATGTCATCAGTGAAAAATGTTCCTAGTTGTAGTTGCACTATGATTTGTGATTTTGTGTGCTTTTTAGCCTTCAGAGTTCTGAACACTCGCAGGTTGAAATACACCTGGTTAAATAACAGTAGCAATTGCCTTTTTATGCAGTTGATATGTTGAAACCACAGCTACTCATATGCTTATATTGCTAAATTTTGAAATGCTCCTAATCAGAACATTTTCAAATGTAGAATGTCATCAATTATGGTTGTTTGGGTTTCCAAGGCAGCCTCATAAGATCTTCTTTATACCAATTCCGTTTCTAGATGCAAATGACCCAGTTTGTGAAAATAGAATTTATTCAGCAAGTATATAGATCACTTACTAGAAATTCTAGGGTGCTGGCAATTTCACTTTCTGAAATATTTTAATGATCCTCTTCCCAGAAAACAAGAGCTTTGGAAAAATCACTTAAAGACAACGGTGGATGGCAAAGCTAACTAAAAGAGGTGTCCATACACTAAAGAAAGATGAATATCAGGTTTCATGCATTTTGTCAATCTTGATTTTTCCTCACTCTGTTTTGATAAGACGGTAATGATGGTTTCTGTTTCAGTTGTGTTTTGATAAGTCTGCAGGCTTCGCCTTTTTGTTTGTTTATCCTCAAAGTTCGTCCACACAGACCTCAGACCCCTCAAACCAGGCCGAGCCTTTTCAGTGCTGAGCTGGACGGGTCGACACATTGTCGAACCACCAAAGAAATGTTTCCCACGCCACCAGACCCATTTCCAGCTGGCTATCATGTTGATTGTAACACAATCACAGCGGATAGAAGATGCATTGGACTATAATTGACATTATGGCCTCATCCTCTTGTCTCGGGGTCGATCAAACTGAGTGTTGTTTGACCATACCCACCCTCGTTTTCCCATTAATTCGGCCCGTTTCCTTTTTCATTTTCTTATATTATATTTTTGGGTTAAAGGGAACTGTATGCATCAAAATTTCAACTTATAACTGCGATTTCTTTATGAAATTTACATTTCTGATAGTGTGTGGTTTTCTTGAAAAACTTTGGCACCCGTTCAAGTGGATAATTTCTTGTCAAGACAAGTATTCTATGCAGTTATCATTAGTACTGTATCCCTGTTTGGTGCCCATTGTTTTGAAACTTTTTTTTGCTATATGATCATTTTTAACTACACATTCACACAATAAAGTATTATGCGTGTAAATTCAAAATTTTTTCTATTTTTTAATCACATTCTCCTAAAAATGCTATTCAATTTTTTAATAATGGGCATCAAACAGGGGGGTCAAGTTTGTTGAGATGTTTCATGGTGGGTAATAATCAAACAAATAATAATGAATAATTGTGTCGTACGCTATTATTGTTGTAATATTGACAGCCGTTTCTTTAATTATTTTTCCTGACCATTAACATGAGAAATTGTCATTATAATTATAATAAAGGGTGTGTAAAATTTACGTTTAAATGATTTTGTAGAAATATATTAATGGACTAGCTGTACATTTTGTATGTTGAAGTTGAAGATTAATTATTTAACAAACATGATTTCTCCTACCAATATACACCCAGACCATACTGAGCACTGCTTCTGACTGATAAAAATCACTCCAGTTGAATCTTGTGGCAATTTTTTTGCTCTCCGCAGTTGAAGAATTGGAGATGAGGCTTCCTCTACTTCACACTTTAAACAACGGACTAACATTTCTTTGGTAATTTGCAGATTTGCAGGCAAATCTGTTTTCTTATTTTCCCACCCGATTGTTAACATATAAACTAGTGATACTTTTCTATTATCATACATAACCTTGTACATAAAGAAAGAGCTTGTTTGTGGGGGTGGATAGCGTTTCAAATGGAGAATTTAGGCCAAAATTGGGATAAAAAAGAAGAGGAGGAAGAAGAAATTGAGGTTGCTTTATTAAGAAGATCAAGTGCTTGCAACAATGGGCATGTGAATCAGTCATCAGACGCTGCAAATAGACCCGATAATGAATCAGTTTTTGGTAATGGGCAAAGTAAAGAGGAGCTTAATGGGATTCTTGAAAATGAAGCAGAAGCAAAAGATGGGTTGAAATCAGAATATTCCATTTACTATGATAAAGATGAAGGTTCATAACGTGCTTTAGGATTCTGAATCTTTGTTGTTTTTAATTTGATAGCTTTTGGTTTTCTTTATCTTGGATTTGTTTAATTTATAATGCGCTACTGTTTACTCGAGTTGATTGGGTTTTGTACTTTCTTGGAAAATTGTATGTGTTCAGTCATGAGTATGGTAGTTGATACCAAATGAAAATTTGTAAAAGAGTTGAACAGAAGCACCAACAATAAGGAATTGTGTGCCCATTTTAGCAGAATCATAGTTAGTGAAAGACGATAACAGTTTGCTAATAAGGAAGTGTGTGGGTTTGGCCGTTTGGGGTATTCAAGTCCAGTTTAAACTAAAATTGGAGAGCTGATCTGGGACGTGCAATAGTTTCAGTTTTTCATTTAATTAACATAACTGAATTTAACTGAATAAAACAGATTTTCGACCAGCAAAAGAGGGACATTGCTGATTGCCCTTCGTAAATGTTCTAGTCTAGGCCGATATGTTTTTGTAATTGTTTTACAATTTGTTAAGTTTGACCTGCTGTAAATACATTGTGCTTGATGAGCCTCTTCCACATTTACTCTATATCTAGCTAATTGCCAAATCTTGTCAACAGGTTATTCCTTCCTCCAATACTCGCCCAGTTTCATTACCTTATGCAACGGACTTCTAGTAAAAGATCAACTTGTCTGACATTTCCCCTTGAGTTATTTCTGATTTCATTTTCTTTATTTGAATTTGGCAGGATTTGTGACTACTATAATTGTAATTACTTTGGCCTAATTTATATTCCATTTAGCTTTTAAGTTTCTATTCTTTTTCATTAAATTGTATTGTATTCTAGATTTATACTTGCATTTTTACATTTAGACATATAGTGCAAGTTACGATGAGGGGTCCATTTAACATTTAATTTCAGGTCTTGAACTTCATTCTGGAGAACAACTAGTCGAGAAAAATCCTGCAGACAGATCAGACGTCTCATCACAGAAATTTTATTTTCAGAAGAATTCTGTTTCTAAAGTAAAGGATCGATATGAAGGAGATCAAGAGGATGACAACTTGTCAATTTCAAGTTCTTGGCCAACTGAAATATTATATCAAGAACGTGGCACAACTTATGAGTCTTCGAAAGAGAGAAAATGTACTGACAATGACCTGATAAATGCAGATGATCTGGAAGATACGGATTTAGATGTTGATAGAGTACTACGAGAGCAGACAACACATGATTTATATTGTCCTAATTGCAATTCATGTATCACACGAAGGGTTATTCTTCGCAAAAGAAAATGTATAGTTCGACTTCCTGATGAAGAGGGTAAACGTAGCAAACTAGGAACTGCAGCCAACTCCAAGTCGGATACTCGCTCTGCAAAGGCAACCAGTAATCAAGGTCATCCAACAGATGGTATTGGTGTGGATGGTCGTCCAATACCAATAGTAGATGACCATGTTCAAGACAGAGGGCCTGATTTATTCAGATGCTTATCATGCTTTAGCTTCTTCATTCCAATAGGTAGGAATACATTCATGGGGCTCAAAATTTAAAAAGTGTCAAATTTATGTGTAGGCACACCAAGACACTTGCCTGAATTGCTTAAATATATGCTGTGGGGTGGTACAATCTAATAAGCATCAAAACACGTACTTCCATATAGTTATGATAGTTCGCTGAGAGGCAGCGAGATGGCTGCGATCATTGTTCCTACGTAGATTTGCTTTCTGAACCGATATCCGAAGGCCAAACCTACTTGGGCCATTGTATCTCTAGAAACTTTCGATCCATTTGTTGAACCACCTCATCTAAAAATTTAAGTAAGGAGAGTGGAGACGCAAAATTTTTGCAAATGGATGACGGTGCAACTTGAGTTAAAGACATTTTGTCTGCTCTAATAGCATGTTGAGCTACCTCATATGAAAACTTGCGCGGTTAGAGAAGAAACAAATTTATTTAAGTTTTATTTAATGGTACCGTGACGATTGTAATATGATACAGTGAAGCCTAAGTCATTGCACTCCGCATATGATAGGTACATTTTGCTAATAACGACCTGCTACTGAAAAACTATTTGCATATCCAGTTTCTATTTTAATATCTTCAAGAACTTAACCTTTCTTCTGGACATTCAGGGAATGGGTTTAAGCTGTTCCGGATATTTGGAGAGAATGGTGCCAAAGAGAATGTGCAGGATGAGCAAATACGAAGTATGGAAAAAAATTGGTTGGCTTCCATATTTGCATCAAATAAGAAGGAAACATCAGTTGAACAAGGTATTGTTTTTCCATTACCAAATCAATTTTCTTACGTACGAGGCTTGGTACCTTTGCGCATGTAGGAAATTTATAGAATGATGCCTTGTATAAGTTTTGAAAAAACAATTATTTTTGCTTATTACATGTTTCCCCTTTTATGTTAAAATTCCAG